GTATGGTCCGACAATAATTTTTTGTGTATATTTTTATCGTGAGTTCGACCAGTCCTGTGTGGCACTGGGCTTTTTCGAATTATATGATTTTACTGAGTAACACACGAACGCGTAAAGAAAAATATTCGATAACAATTTTATTAATCGACGGAAGTAAATAAAAGGAATTGAACTAATGAACTCTAAAAGAATGTAAATGTCAATGAACAAACTGGAATACAGGAATTAGAACTCTTCTTGTTGGGTCTTCAACTTGGAATATGTTTCTTGGCGTTTTAATCGTACAACTTCGACGTGTGTATCCGATGGTGATGTCGATACAACTCCAAGAAATAAAAAAAAAAAAATGAATCACAAAAATCGGAGCCTATGGAAATTGCAAGCTGCGTGTGAAACTATACCAATGAGTATAGAATCCAGCAAAGAACCCTAGGTCGACAAATAGCACAAGAAAGAAAAGAAGGAGGCGGATTGGTTTTCACAGAACCCAAGGCCTGTTTTCACTGGGCCTGTCTGTCAGTCGGTCGGCTTTCGCACAACCCTGGCCTGTTTTCACTGGGCCGTCAAGTCTGATCGGCTTTCGCACGACCAAGGGCCTGTTTTCACTGGGCCTGTCAGTCAGTCGGTCGGCTTTCGCACAACCCCGGCCTGTTTTCACTGGGCCGTCGAGTCTGATCGGCTTTCGCACGACCAACACAAGACAACAAGAGTCAGAACAACACTGGTAACAAATTGTGTGTCTTCAGTACGCGTGCGAAACTATGCCAATGAGCATAGAGTCTCGTATTGAATCCACTTTTGAGAACTTAAGGCGTTTCTGAAACTATGCCAATGAGCATAGAATCACGCGTTAAGTCTCTTAGATACCAGAACAGGCACTGATTACTCGAAGCTGCCTAACTGGTGAACCCAGAGCGGACCCCCTCTAAGTTTTTTTCACACCCTTCCTTATCAAAACAAAATTAGATTTTGTTTCGGGTGTTTTAAAACATAAAAATCTACAAGGCATGTCCAATTAATCAGAAAAAGTATTAATTAGATTTTAAAATAATTTATAATAATTTATGACGTCATCTAAATTGCAAAACAAAAAAAAATACGTTGTCACCTATCGAGTAAATTAACTTGCACCATGCCCCCTATCGAGTGAATAAATTTCGCGTTGAAAATTTTGCAGTATTTTTAGTCAGCATTATTTCATAATTCTGACAATATATATATATATATATATATATATATATATATATATATATGTATGTATATGTTGGTAATAGACCATAATTTTTACAATATTCTATAAATTCTACCGAATGTTTGGCGTTAATATGTTTGTTGTTCGTTTTTTCGATTTTTCTCCCTAAAGTTTTTTGGTAACGTTTTGTTGTCATTTTTTGTTGTATATTTATTTTTGGTTTATTGATGTCAATTAGGACTGCTTCTGCAAGTTTATTTTGAATTTTAATAAACTAAACGTTTACCAAAAACTAGTGAGAAAAATCGAAAAAACGAACTACAAACATATTAACGCCAAACATTCGGTAGAATTTATAGAATGTTGTAAAAATATATATATGTATATAATATATATATATTTATGGTGGTGATGAAGATGGTGTACATGCAAATGTTGATGCAAATAGTAATAAAAATAATAAATAATAATAACAATGATAATAATGATAGTAGATAATGATAAACATGATATTATTATCGGTGTATGCTTGAAGTTAAAGTAATCACGTCATCATCGTTGTTTTGAGGTCAATAATAATTGTTTCTTTAGCGTGCATGCATACATATTGTGCATATATTGTACACGTAAGTACAACTGATGTTGCTATGTATTGTATATATAAGTACAATGAACACGTACATGCATTGCATTGTACTGTGCATGTTTTTGCTGTCATGTAGATAGAGAGATAGAGGACTTTCTTACTTAAATGGATTGCGTTGTTTGTCTTACAAAGAGTCAAGAATCCCGTTAGTTCGGTTGCGAGGTTGTTGAGGGGAAACTAACTGGCCGGCAGCCTTACTTCAAAATAAAAAGTATTTAATTATGCATGTATGTCCGATGCGTTTGATGGCATGTAAAGTGGGAGATGCCATTCTGTGGAAGACCTGCTCTTCTCCTGTTTTATGACGATCAATCGGATTCTTATTTCCAATTTTATTAGTTAACGTTGTGACTATAAAAATTATCCGTTAAAATCCGCTTTTGAATTTGTGTTGTGTTTTTTTTTATTAGATGAAGCGATTCATTTTCGTGGACACGTTCAAGAAAATAAACGAATTACTTTGATTCTCAGGACTTAATGACATGATGCACCATGCACCATGCATGCATCATGCATGGTGCATGATGCATGATGCACGCATGCATTGACGTATGCAACGAATGCAGCGAAACCATTTTACGAGACCAGTGTTACAATAACAATGATAATGAAGAATAGTCGCAACAAATTATAACATCCGGATGGTGTTTTGAGTCTTTTGGCGGTAAAATAAAACTTGATGTGGTCATTTCAAAGTTATTTAATGGGGTCATTCTAAAGTTATTTGATGTTTAATTCAGCAGCGTCAAGCGAGCCGCATACGTAATTAAAATCAACAAATTTTTATCAACATAAATATTTCATTTTGTATGCCGGTGAAATTTAGCGACATTTTTGGTTGCACTATTCATTTTTTCGAATTTATATTTTAATTTTCTTTTTTTTCATAATCTGCAAACCTATAAAACGTTTCAGAACTTTTACAAAACCTCATTTCAAATGTTTTACTGTTGATTGTCAGGTCAGTTTTTAACAAAGCCCCTTGTACAAAAAGCCAGCGCAAGAATCATCGAAGGTCCTACACTTTCACTTCCAAGTCACGTTTTCTTCCTTTCACTCTCAATTCTCTCTTTCTCTCTCTTTCTCTCTCTCTCTCTCTTTCTTTTTTTCTCTCTCTCTTTCTCTAATTATTTTGAATGTCAAGCAAGAAGAGTTTTTAAAATATAAAAAGTTATGTTGAAAAGTCAGATGGCAATTTGAAAGTTAACACGCCTGCAAATTAAATTAATTTTTCAATTTCAACGCGAGTACGTTATAGTATGATGTAGTGAAATTTAGGATGGTTCAGTCGGTGGATTGAAAAATTATTTGAAAAGATTCGCCTGTAGAAAGAAATACGAGAAAGAATAAAAAAAAATTTAAATTTAAAAGGTACAGCTGAACTTTATTTACAAATACGTACAAATTTTTAACCTACAATGTTCACACGCCACGCGCACACACGCATAGACTATATATATATATATATATATATATATATATATACATACATACATACACACACACACACACACATGCACAGAGAAACACGTACGCAAACGCATAAAGACGTATCAATTTATGCATTTCGCAATTTCTTGCGTGTTTATGGAGACAGGTTGCCACCAGGCACCCTGAAGTGGAACATGA